AGGTTAGACAGAAAACAAACTCCTTAGTGTCACCTGTAAAAGTCAATATGGTGGATGTACAGTTGTTCCCTTTCCTCCCTGGAATGAAACTGGGAGCTGGATCCTCCTACCTACTGTCATACTTTTCACCCCACCCCTCATCATGTGGAATTTTGTTGGGAGAAGGAATTATGTCAAGACATTAGCAAAGTGTTCGTTTCTACCTGTCTGTGGTTCAGGAGCCTCTTGTCTGGTGCTTGGATAGTTCACAATGGGAAGTGGTCCATGTGGTACTGAATTTTTGTGTTCATGGGAGAAAAGTATGAGGTTTTCCTTTTCTACTATCCTGATGGCATTACACCCTATAGTAAGTTTCTTTTGGGGGGAATATTGAATTGCTGTTTCTTCAGGTTTTAAATCCCGTTACATGGCTCATTGCTTAATATTTTATCAGTACAGGACAAATTTATATTTCTCTGGTATTTAGAATCAACATGAATACTTTGATAGTTTAAAAATATTTTTAGTATTAGGAAAAAGTAAAAGGGAAAATATTTATTTTCTCAGTTTTACTGGTCAAGAGTAGTAAAAGGCATGACAGGGAAGTTTACTAAGATATTAAATTTTTTTCTTCTGTTACTTTGGCACCTTGAAATGAATTCATCCCTTTTTAAAAACAATTTTTTTTGAAGCAGGGTCTCCCAGTAGCCCCAGCTGGCCTGGAACTCACTATGTAGACCAGGCTGGCCTTGAACTCACAGAGATCTGCCTGCCTGAGTGCTGGGATTAAAGGTGTGCACCACCATGCCCGGCTCATCCCTTTTGTAAATGGGCACGTGTACTACCTTATCATGAGCCTGCTATGACCATGTCCTATGTACTAGTTGTAGACTGTATAAGCACCATGACTTGATATTCTGTGTGGCAGGCAACACTTGTTATTCATAATGAGGCATTTAGGGTTGATTTTTCTCCTCCCCACAATTGTACTGTTTACCCTGACCACTAGCTCCATCACTGTAAATTGAGGCTGTCTTTGTGGATACTTAAGGATTCAAGTTAATTGTATTTCCAGCTGCAGACAGCCCCCATGGCACAAAATGAATCTTCCGTGCCTAATATCCTATTTCTTGTGCCAGCCAGATTTTAGCAATGATACTGGCCTCTTCTTTTAGTTGGCTTAATTGCCTTCACAAGAAGCAGGCTTCTGCCATGTTTTTTGCTTTACTTGGCCTTGATTGCAGTATGTTTTGGGGACTTCTTATTGAGTTTAGTTTTGGACATACTGAGTTGGAGGCAGGGCTATTCAATTTGTATTTCTAATGGATTTGGAGGTTAAGAGAGTAATTTGAACTGGGGTTATGGATTTAGTAAGCAAAGCTTCTCCTTGTTATTTGAAATACTAATAATATATTGGGTCAACCAGGAAAAGCAGATAAAATGGAAATAATTGTGGTTAAACACAGACCCATATGAATATAGCATGTGTAGGGTAGGTAGAGACAGGGAAAAGTTAATGAAGGGTAGTATGAAGAATATTTCTCAAGGGCAAGATGAGTTAAAGAAAGCCATCTTGTAGTAGATTGAAAACTAACTGTCAAGTTAGGTTAGGGATCCAATAACTTTTAGAAAATTTATTGTGAAGAGAAATAGGTTGATTGGTACAGAGAAGCAACTATATGTGAATTAGAAGAGGATGTTTTATGTATGCAACTGGTGCAATAAATAAATGTTTCAGGCCTCCTTTTAATTAATATTTTCTATGAGAACTACTTTTAATATTTAACTATTTTTCAATTTTTAAGTATAGCTCTTTTTATGATTGCTTAATCAATTCTTAAAGAATAGGCTACTGCTTATTATATCAGGCTGCTTCTTCTAATACACTGTGTTTTAAATGCCTGTATCAGTGTAAACATTGATTAATGAAGTTATCTTCTGTTTTTCTCATTTGCTTTTAACTCTTTGCACAACTGGATTACAGTATAGAGACATAAAAAGAAATTAGTACCTTTCTTTAAAATAGCTTGTTCAGATATTCAGCATTGCTCAGTAATCCATTCAAGGAATGACATTTTATCAGTGTTACTACTATCAAAAACTACATTGTTTTCATATTTTCTTTTGATTTAGTAGTTTATTTTGGGGGCATTCTTTGTGTGTGTGTGTGTGTGTGTGTGTGTGTGTATGCCTGTCACAGTGTTCACATAAAGGTTAGAGGGCAACTTTGTGGAGTTGGGTTTCCCCCTGCAGCTTTAAGTCGATTCTAGGATCTAATTTGGGTCATCAGTCTTGTACCAGCCATCTATACCTGGTGAGTCATCCCTCCCTTCCCTTTTGAGTATTCTTTTTTTAAATTTCATTTTTTTCTTCAATGTATATTTTTTATTGAATTTTTGTGCACTTCATACAAAACATCTTAATCATCTTTATGCCCCCTTCCCCATTTGCACTTGCCTCTATGTTCCCCCACCTCTGGATTCCATGTATTCTTTCATCATATATGTTTAGGTCTAATGAGTCGTTTGTGTACCCAGATGTCCCTCAGTGCAAATTCATCCACTGGAGTCTAGTCAATGTATCTAGAGTCTCTCCCTTAAAGAAGATCAACCCTCTCTCACCCAGCATTAATCAGCTGCCAATAGTTCTTCAGCTAAGGTTGGGGCCTGCTGTCCATTTCCCCAATTCTGTGCTAGGTTTTTGTTTAATTGAATCTGCATGGATCTTGTGCATGCTGTCACCATCATTGTAAGTTTAAATTCTAGGAGCAAGTTCCCAGAGACCTGGAAAACTCTGTTTCCATATGGTCATGCACTGCCTCCTCTTGCTCTTACAATCTTTTCACCTCCTCTTTTGAGCCTTTGGGTAGGTGAGATTTAATATAGGAATCCTATCCAGGGACGTGCACTCTACAGTCTCTTACTCTACACTTTGGCCAGTGTGGCCTTCCCTGTGCATCGTACTCTGTTGCACAAGAAAGCTTCATTGGTGATGGTTCAAGGATGCATTAGTATTCTCTTTACCCCATTCTGCTATGTTCCATGAACCTTAGGTGTAGAGGTTCAACTATAGATGTTTGCCACAACTATATATCTTTGTCACTTAGGACTGGGCATCTCTCAGACACTTATTCTTTGTGTGTGACCAGTTGTAAACTATGTAATAGTTTCTATCTGTTGCAAAAGAAGCTTTTTTGATGAGTAGTGACTGGTATACTTATCTGTAAATATAAGGATCCATATTTAGCATGCAGTACGAAATTTCATTTGTCTAAGGATATTTTTATGGTTTACACAACTTGTTAAGTAAAGAAATCCTAAGACTCAGGGACCATCACCGAAGAGGGGGCAGAAAGATTGTAAGAGCCAGGGAGGTGGTGTGTGACCATATGGAAACAGAGTCCTACAAGCTCGTGGGAACCTGCTCATATGAGTCTATGGCAATGGTGTCAGCATACACAAGTCCCATGCAAACTCAGGCAGACGAAAACCCAGCATAGAACTGGGAGAATGACTAGCAGACTCCAATCTTATCTTATGAAATATTGTCAACTGATTGCTGGTAGGTGAAGAAGAGCTGATATAGTTTGTGGTTAGACTTATATAGAGGTTCCCCCTTCCCCTGCTTATTAACAAGCAGTAAGTTCCAAGAAAACTGCAGATAGTATTCAACACTCTTCATACTATTTTCATACTCACATGCTGATAATAGTTTAATTTATAAATTAGGCATATCAAGACATTAACAATTACTACTAAGAAAATAGGACAATCATAATAATAAACTATAATAAAAGTTATGAATTGTCTGTTTCTACAGTCTTTCATTTAATATTTTCAACCTGTGTTTGAATGAGGTAACTGTGACTGTCAAACCCAGACCTTGGTGGAGTTTATTCTATAGTAGTCAGTTTCTGTCTCATACTTCTTTTTTATTTTATTTATTTTATGTGTATGATTGTTTTGCCTGCATGTATGTAAGTGTACTATGTGCATGCAATGCCCCACAGGAGCCAGAAGAAGGCTTTGGATCCCTGGAACTGGAGTAATGGATGGTTGTTAGCCACCATGTGCATGCTGGGAATCCTCTGCAAGAGCAGCCAATGCTCCTAACCACTGAGCTAACTCTCTAGCCCCTGTTTCATAGTTCTGGAATCAATTGCTTAGGCCATAGGTATTCATTCTCACAGAATTCTAGTTGAATTAATTTGAATTAAAACAAGTAAGAAAAAACTAGGCTAAAGTAGTATATTTGAGAATTTTATATGATTTTTTATATTACAGAAGACCTTTTTTGGTAACATTTATTTAAACTAATTTCATAGTTTTGGAGTTGCAACATTTGCATGAATTAACATGGTATATTTTTAAAGATTTCAATGTTTATAGCCCAATTTAAAATTAATTAAAACTTTAAGCAACATGGAAGTTTTGTTATTTTATGTATTTTAGGGTTTTATCTTGAATGTAACAAAATTTACTAACCTTCTTAAGACATTCTTAAGACATTTCTTTAAGAATATATGCTTTATTTTTTCTCTTGATAATACCTCAGGGGAAGGGAAAGGAAGAGAAATGATTTAAATGCATGTGGTTAATTATAGTCCCACTTGAAAATGGCATTGCTTATAAGCAAGTATGTGGCCTTTATGTGACATCTTACTTATAACTTGATGTAAATGAAATAAAATGTGCGAAGTATAAATGGTTGCTTATGCCGGACGTGGTGGCACATGCCTTTAATCCCAGCACTCCGGAGGCAGAGGCAGGTGGATTTCTGTGAGTTCAAGGCCAGCCAGGTCTACATAGTGAGTTCCAGGACAGCTGCGGCTACAGGGAGACCCTGTCTCAAAAATACCGAAAAAAAAAAAAAGGTTGCTTATGTATTTTCTGCCTTTGAATGAATCATTATCATTAATATAACCTATCATTTCATTTATAAAGGAAAGAAGTGGTAATCCTAGATTTGGATAGTCACTGTCCTCTTGAGTTCTCCAAATTGTAACTGTTTCTGTTTTGTAGAGAGCAGTACACAGGGAAGCTCCAGGATAGAGCCCATTCTATGAGTCCTACTTGCAGAGAAGACCAACCACATATCACTTCAAAGATCTGTGTAAGATGAGATTTTACTTTTATTCGCTCTATGTTTATTGTTTTAAAATAACCTCACAAAGCTTGTTTTATGTTGTTAAAGTTCCAATTAGTACTTAAAAACAGTAAATAAAGTATGAAGGTTTTGGTGAACATATTGAAGTCAAAGATAGCAGGGTGTTGGTGCTTTTGTAGTGATTCTGAGGTATGGTGGCCTGTCTGATACTTCTCCTGAGTGTCAAAGAGAAACTTTGAAACATCTTGTTTTTCAATTATTTTCTTTCATTCTTTTGCTTCATATGTTAATTGAATGATTAGATATCAGATAATCATAAAGTTAGGAAGAAACTTGGATTAATTTATAGTGAAGGAGGGAATGCTGCTTTTTGATAATGATTAACTGCTTATATATTCAGAACAGATGCCTCTCACACCAGTGTACTTACTATAGACTGATTTGAACAAGCTTTGTAAAGGGAAAAACTTCTTGTGTACAGTCCTTATTGTTTACCTTGGATGCCTTGGGCTATGTGACTTTCAGTTACAAGAAAGATCTCCTATAGTATATGACTATTTGAGCATATATTTATTTAAATATCATTGTATTTTTTCCAGTGATAGTTTAGAAATTTAAATAAAATTATATAAAAAAGACAATATATTTTCAGTAATAATAATCAGTCAGTGTAGTTACTGAAAGTAAACATGACATATTTGTTCATATTTAAGTTCTTCACAAAAAAGTATACAGAAAACCGAGGACACCACAAAAAGTGATCATAAATCTTAATAGTATAGAAATAATAGAAACTCAAGCTTTTAACAGAAACTAGAGGAATCATTAAAATATGCAGAACATTCAGTGTTTTTTCTTCATCACTACATTTCAGTTTAAATAATCATAAGTTTATTAAAGCTTAGTGTTTAGTAATGAGGCACTCTTAAGTAGAAACATGCTCTATCAACAGATCTGATTTCAAAAGAAAACTTCAGGCCGGTGAAATAGTCATTGTTTATGCAGATAGGTATTTCTAAATTGTAGTGCTGTAAGGACACTGTTCATTCTCTGCACAGACTTTAGGTTGTCTTTAATTAGTTTTAATCAGACTGATAAATTTGTAATATAATAAATTATACAGTAAAAAAAAAGTTTTGTACTTTTTAAAAAGTAAAGATTCACCATAACTGTGTTTTCATGATGCAAACCCAAAGCCCATTTCTCTTTTTATCCAATGTATGAATGAGAATTAATTTAAGAACAAAGAGCTTCTTGGACATCAACACAAAACTTCCCTGTTAACTAATTTTAAGGAGAGTAATTAATTCATCTCTTCAAGTGTCTCTGCTGCTTTCAAGCTACTGTGGTTTACCACAGTTAAAACTTTTTGTAGATGAACTTAAAGAGAAGGGTCTGGATTAATTTTCAAAATATTCTTTTGATTTTTTTTGAAATTTAGTTAACTTTGTGAATATATTGTTAAGGCATTTCATTGTCTTAACCATCTGTAATGAACAGTCATTAGTTAGAATTGAGAGCTCTAGCTTAGTTGTAACATAATCCTCTCCTTTGAGGGTAATATAACATTACCAAATAAGTACATGAAGGTCTCAGTACTCCAAATCACATATATTTTGTCTTTTTTCTTTTCTTCTTTTCATTCCCGCTTCTTTCTTTTCTTTCTTTCTTTCCTTTTCTCCTTTTTCTTCCATTGTTTCCTCTTTTCTTTCTTTCCTTCTTCCCTTCTTCCCTCCCTCCCTTTCTTCCTTCTTTCCTTCCTTCACTTTTTTCTTTTGTATTTCAGGAAGTTCATTCAAAAAAGTCTTCTGTTTCTTTGGATGACAGTGACATAGAAGCTCGCCTTAACAGTTGGAATCTTGGGGTAAAAACTATTTTATATTCATATTGATGTGACAGAATCATATTGTATGTAGAAAATATCTGAACTTGTCTGGACATGGGAGGCACCTGCTGTCTATATGAGAAACAGTTCTGTTGGCCTCTGGCCATGCCATTTGTCAAGCCCCTATCAGGCCTCTTGCTCCAGAGGATGTCTACATATTGATCTTCATTGGTACCTGGGAAGCAGATGGCTGCAGAGGAACCTTTTTCATTCCCTTCTTTCTTAATTTTTTTTTGAGACAGGGTCTCCCTGTATCCCCAGCTGGCCTGGATCTCACTATGTAGACCAGGTTGGCCTTGAACTCACAGAGATCCATCTGCCTGCCTCTGCCTCCCAAGTGCTGGGATTAAAGGTGTGTGCTACCATGCCTGGCTCTTAATGTCTTTTTATTACAAAGGTTGGGGATGTGGAAGTATTTTGATTGGTGGACAGAAGAGAAAGAAGGAATTTAATGGAGAAATTGGTATGAGGAAAAGATTTAGTTAGTATAGGAGAACAGCATTGATTGTTTGGAATTATGTTTGGAGTTACTAGGTAGTGTTGTCAGGCTGAAATGTATTAGGGTGACAAATTGAGAAATTTCCCTTTTCATTTTTTGAGACAGAGTCTCACTAAGTTATTCTGGCTGACCTAGAATTTACTATGTTAACCAGGCTGACCTCAAACTCCTGAATGATCCTCCTGCTTTTGCATTCCCAGTGTTAGAATTGCAGGTGTGCTCTACCACACTGACAGAAGATTCTATTTAAATTTCAGGCTATTGTGAGCTCTGGAGGGTTTTTCCCTTACATTTTCTATTTTTCACATATGCTGTTTATGTACTTTGATGAAATTAACAAAAGGATTTAAAATGGTTTTCTTTATGCATTTTTACTGTATAAGATTTATATCACAGAACTTCAAGAACAAAAAGGATTTAAAATTTGAAATTATGAAAATCAGAGGAATCAAATTGTCTCAAAATCTTAAACATAGAGATGTGTCTATATTTTTGTTATATAAGCTGAGCATCCTTAATATGAAAATCTAAAATCTAAATGTTCCCCACATGGAAACTGTTTGAGAATGTTGGCATTCAGAACATTTCAAAATTTGGAGCATTTTGATTTTTCATATTAGGCACACTCAAGTTGGTAAAATCTATGTAAACATTTCAAATTCTGAAAAACTTCTGTTTCCAAACATACCAAGTAGGAGATATTCAACCTGAATATTTCTTTTTTATCCTATGACTTTATAAAGTTCAAAATTTGAAGAAAATTGGGATGCATTATTAATGCTAATTATTTATAGTTTTAAACTACAAATGTTTTATTTAGTTTTATTTAATGTGTACGGGTGTTTTATTTTATGTGTACCTGTACATGCAGTGCCTGTGCAGATCAGAAGAGGGTGTCAGATCCCCTGGAACTGGAGTACAGATGGTTGTTAGTTGCCATATGGGTGCTAGGAGTGGAACCCAGGTCCTCTGCAAGAGCAGCTAGTGTTCTTAACTGCCATCTCTTTGGACTCTTGTAGCTTTTAAATTTTATCTAAATTTACAAGCAATTTAAAAATTTTAGATATGTAGTCCAAATTTTCAGTATTCTGTTTTTATTGCATCACTAAGTTTCCCAGTTTATTGGTAATATGAGTTCCTGACCAGAATCTTTATATTTAGTTGTTTCTTAGGTTTCATTAAAATTTTGGTATTATTCAGAAGGTTTGTACCAGTTTCAGTTAGCCATATTAGTTGTCTATTCTTTACTTACGCCTCATGGTCATTAATGGAAGCAGTGCTTTAGGCCAGTTTATTTGGTGGTGTTATAAAGGCTTTGCTGAATGTAAGTAGAAATGAAGAAAGCAGACTGGTTATCCGTTAGGTATTCATAGTGTAGTCTGTGTTAGTCCATTTGCTGTTAAGATGGAAAAGGTAGAAAGGAAAGGAAAAGAAATGTTTGAAAGAGTAAAGGATGCCCAGTGCTTGATTAGAGAGCTCAATTAAAGGGCATCTAAAGGTTTGCTTCTGAGAAATGGAAATAGTGACTGTCAGTTAACTGCCAGATGAGTAACTTATTTTAGAAGCTTAAACTTTTATTTTAGATGGTGGGGATTGAAGAGATGATAAGATTAATTACAGAATTAAAGGCCTAGAGCTTCATGAAATTCAAGGGCTGGAGGCATGTTTGGAGTTATTCTATTAGAGATATTGGCAAGATGCAAGAACAGCTCCACTCTTCGTAGACTAGAGAAGGTAAAGAGGGCTAGGGTAGGGAGTGGGGAGAGTGAGAATATCTGGCTTATGGAGTAAACAGAAGTTTGGAAACTGGATGAGGGTAATGTGGATCCCTATTTAATTTCGGGAGTAGGCTAGTTAAAGAGAAGAGAGAAGTAGACTCTGTAGGCAGGAGGATAAGAAGTCAAAAGGAAAGCGTTTCATGTCTGGAGTTGTAGAGGAAGTTCCTGTTAGAGGGAAGTCCTGTTGCCAGTGTGGGAGAAGAGCACAGGAAATCTCACCGAAGCATAGATTTCTTTTGTCAGAGAGCAACATCAAAGTAAAAAATAAAACTGTGGAGCTATCCTTTTAAACTTGCCTTTGCCCTTAGCTATTTGGAACTTTTGATGTACATTTATTAGTACTTAGAATACTTTTCTTGATTATCTAACTGTTCAGAGGATTAAATCTTTCATATAAGAAAATTAAAATATCAAAAATATTTTGATGTAAAGCCATAACACTAGGCCTGCTTGGAATTTTGTTTTACCTTTTGGTTGTTGACCAAATGTACAAATTATATAAAATATAATTGCCTTGCATTTTTACATACTTCTAATGCATAAACATCAACCTGGATAAACTGTATTTCCTGATCACAGTGAAATACAGTGTTCAGTTTATTAGAAAGCTTAGCTTTTGTTTTGATTATAGTTTCATATATGAATGTCTGAGTAGCCTTGTTTTCTTTCTGTCTGTTAATAGCTAGAATTGATTTTTGTGTGAGTTTAGGCTGTGTTTTTCATATTGCCGACATTATTGTTTGTACTTCATTTTGATGCATTTGATATTCTAGAATTTGAATTTCCTACAATTTCTTAAAGTATTTTTTTCTTAGTTTGGTGTGGTGGCACATGCCTTTAATCCTAGCACTTGGGAGGCAGAGGCAGGCAGATCTCTGTGAGATCGAGGCCATACTGGTCTACACTGAGAGTTTGGCTGGGGCTACAGGGAGACCCTGTCTCAAAGAGACAAAATTCTCTCTCTCTCTCTCTCTCTCTCTCTCTCTCTCTCATATATATATATACATTTTTTTCAAAATAGCCTTTTCTCAGGAATGTGCTAATTTTTCTAGCAATACATAATTTACGTGGAGATTGTCCAAAAAACTAGCACTGAAAATTTTAATCCCTCATTTTTTTCTTAATCTTTAAACCTTTAGTTTTTGGGACTCTTGCCTGCAGAATGCATTTAAAAAGTACTTCATGTATGTCTTTCTAAGATATAGCCTGGATTGCAGTGCTATGTATTGTTGTACTTCTAAGTTAATTTTAGTGATTTCGTGGATAGAGAGTTTGGACTATTTTCCCCTTTCCCCCTTTTGTTAGCACATGTTAATTTCAAAAAATAATGTTTCAGTAAGCCATTTTCATAGGTGTATATCATATACTGTGGCCATATCCCATCATCCCCTCTTAGCTTCCATCCCTACTCCCTCTGGCCACTTTTCCTAAACAGTGCCCCCTCTAGTCCATGTCTTTAAAAAATCTTTTAAAGATTCATTTTTATTTATGTGAGCGTGTGTGTGTGTGTGTGTGTGTGTGTGTGTGTGTGTGTACCACACATGTGCCAGTACCCATGGAGGTCAGAAGAGGCTGTTGGACTCCCTGGAGGTAGAATTATAGGTGGTTGTGACCCACCAGATGTGGGAGCTGGGAACTGAACTCAGGTTTTCTGGAAGAGCACCACAAGCTCTTAACTGCTAAGCCATCTCCTCAGTCCTCCCACCCCTCTTTTAAATAGATTCCACATATGAGAGAAAATATGAAATATTTGTCTGAATCTGGCTTATTTCACTTAATGTCTTAATCTCCAGATCTATCCCTTTCCCTGCAAATGACACAATTTCACTCTTTATGGCTGAACAAGATCTCACTGTGTATGTGTAGCATATTTTCTTTATCCATTCGTCCACTGATGGACATCTAGATTAATAACATATTTTTGCTTCTATGAATAGGGCCACAGAAAGCATGGATATGCAGGTATCTCTGTGCTATGCTGCCTTAGATTTCTCCTGGTGTTGACCCAAGAGTGGGTAATACTGGATCATGTGGTAGTTATTTTTTAGTTTTCAGGGGAGCTTCTATCCTGATATCCATAGAAGCTGTGCTAATTTGCATTTCTACTAGCATTGGATAAAGGTTCCTTTTCCCCTTCTATCCTTACCAGCATTTGTTGTTATTTTCTTGATGATAGCCATACTGACTGGGGTGAGATTTGATCTCAGTGCATTAGCTGAACTTGCTGGTGCAGGTCTATAATCTTAGTTACTTGAGAGGTTGAGGCAGAAACATTGAAAGTTAAGGACAAGCCTGGGACAAGCCTAGTGCATTAAAGCCAGCTTGGGTAACTTAGTGATTATAAAATAAAGAAAAAAAGGACTGGAGAGATGGCTCAGTGGTTAAGAGCACTGGCTGCTCTTGCAGAGGACCCACGTTTGATTCCCAGAACCCACATTGTGGCTAACAACAGTCTGTAATTCCAGTTCCAGGGAATCCGACACCCTTTTCTGAATTCGGTGGGCACTGCATGGCATGAGTGTACCTACCTATATGCAGGCAATATACACCTACACATAAAATAAAATTAATAAATATTTTTAAGAAATAAAAATATGTAAATAAAATTTGACAAAAGTAAAGATTTTTTATGCTAAAATAAAAACAATTCTAAAAATAGAGTAAAATGAAAAAAAGTGAAAAAGAAAAGAAACAACTCAGGG